CTATTCGTTCAGCGGCAATAACGACTTAAACATTTTTTATTCCCCTGCACGAAATAAGCTGCGACCCACTGTATATGTATTTTTTTTAAGTTCTTTTTTTTCTTAGAACAATCTCAAACAAAATGAAAGAGTCCTATGGAATCATCAATATTTTTATAATTTTAAATTATATCATTTCATGCCTAAACAAGAAAGGAAGCTAACTTCGTTTACTATGTTTACAGTTTGACAGTTACAGTTTTGCATTCCCAGCTTTACATTTTTTCTACGTCTACCGATCGTTTCTATGGCAGATATATGATATAGTTGTCTGATTTTCATAAAACTTATACCAAAATTCTGAAATATTATAAAATGGCCATATCTAAAAAATTATTCAAAAATGTTGAAAAACAGCCAAGTTATAATTTTATTTCAAAAAATTTACGGATCATTTGTATGGGAGATATATGATATAGTCGTCCGATCCGGCCCGTTCCGACATATATAGCAGTGAGAGTATATAGAAGACTATATGCAAAGTTTCATTCAGATAGCTTTAAAACTGAGGGACTAGTTTGCGTAGAAACGGACAGACGAACAGACGGACATGGCTGGATCGACTCGGCTGTTGATCCTGATCAAGAATCTATATACTTTATAGGGTCGGAAATGTCACCTACACTGCGTTGCAAACTTCTGACTGAATTTATAATACCCTGCAAGGGAATAAAAAAATGCAAATTTGTTTGTTTTTAAATAATACAAATGTAAATCCCATTGTACTTTGGCCACTGTGACAGCAGCATCAGCGCCCGGTTTTAACCTCCGGACCCCGGATAACAAAGTTCCCAGCGGAGCCATGTCGAGAATGACCGGACCGGAGGCTGCTGCTTGGATGGCAGGCATACAAAATGAAGTACAATTTATATGTGGCGGCACAGTGATTCACAAACGTACATAGTATAACGTACAACGTATATGTATATACATATGTATATATATGTATGAATACATATGTGTAAACAAAAATTAGTAACAAATTAATTGAAACCCATGCACTTCAGGGTGGCAGTTAATTATAATATTCAATTTTTTAGCCATGATTTGTTCTTAAAAATGCAAAGTTTCGAGTTGTTTCAAAGAAATTCTTATATGTTTAAATTTTAATAAAGTTTTTTGACGATGGAACGCTTTTTTTATGGATTTTTTTTATTAACAGGCCTGCTCCGGTAATCGAAAACGGCAAGATTTTTTCGTTTTCGTTTTTGAAAACGAGAAATTGGTGCTCCGGTAATCGAAATCGAAAGATTTTTTCGATTTGAAAAACGGGCACCTTTTCTGGCCGAAATAAAAAGTAAATGCATTTTTTTATATGAAATCCGATCTTATTTACAAAAAGAAAAAAATAGTTTACTCAGTGGTCTATTGATGTTTATTCCACACCACCATAAGATCATTCTGGCATGTAGTTATTTTATAAAAAATTTATTTCTGACCCCACCTCAGATTTGACAACAACAATTTTGCCATGTTCAACCAGTTTTCTCGTTTTGGCGATAGGTCGATAAGTTTACCGCAAAAAGTTATCGCTAAGGTTGCCATACTGTTGGTGGAACGAAACAGCCAGATAAAAATACTTATAAAATATAAATGAATACATTAATAACTTTAAAGGACCGCCAAAATGGTTGTTTATAATTAATGCTATTTAATGTGATTACTTAAATGGTCCAAATTAAGCAAATAATTATTTGAGACCACCGGAATTAAAACTGTGAAAAGTGTGGCAGCATCTTAGGTGCCTAGATTTGCTTAAATCTACCATTTTTTGCCTTTTTCTGGCTTAGAAAAAGGGCAATTGTAAATATAATAGGCAGTACTTTACGTTGTATGCTTATTACCAACAACACAAGTTAGCTGCTTGAGCAGTGAGAAACGATGAGAAAACGAAACATTCCGATAGCAGAAATTTGCCGAAAACCGGAGCAGCTAAAAACGAAAACGGTTCGTTTTCGCCCAAAACAAAAACAAACAAATGTTACGATTACTGGAGCAGGCCTGATTATGTAGCAAGCAGTCACACTGACTGATTGTAGCAAACAGTCACTACCAAAAATTAAATAAAAATAAAATTAAGAATATATATATACACAAATAAAATAGATAAAACAAATATATAGAAATTACAACTGAAGAAATAAAAAGAAACTTAATAAAATTGAAAAAATATATAAAAAGGAGGAAAAAAATATTTTTTGACAAAGAAAGCTAAATGTTGTTCTTGTGTCGAAATACCTCTGGCAGATAGATTAATATTAAATATAATATACAATATTAACATCCCCGCCGGCTACCACCGAACCTCCCGCCACGATTTTTCTTCCACTCAAAATCAAATCATTTTGACGCGCCCGCCTATAATTACACTTGCCCAAGCTGGCGATATTCACACCAAGAAGGTATAATCTCGTACAAAAGTGGCGGGCACACTAAACCTTGCCAAGCCCTATATAAAGAGGACCAGACCGTAGATCGTCGGCTGGTGGTGGAGAATAAACAGCGGAAGGCTGCGCATAAATATAAAGACGGCCAAGGCACTCAAGGGCCAGAAGGGCGCCACAACCGCCAAGGGCAGAAAGGTAAAGGGAACGGTGGGACAGGGTGGTGGCGACATTTTCCCCGATCCCGAGGGCGAGCAGGTTGAGTTTAAGGTCACCGATGAAATGAAAAAGAAAATGGGTCTGGCGGCCAAGACGCCCAAGGCTGCCAAGGAACCCAAGGACTACTTTGATGGTCGAAAGCGGCGCGAAGGCCTCTAACAAAACCAAGAAGGCTGCTTCTGCCAAAAAGGAGCCGAGAGTGAAGAAGCCGCGACAAATGAAGGAAAACGGCGACAGACAGAATCAGAGTAAACTTGATCTCAGCATGGCCAAGGTAAGGAAGCGCTCTTTTTTGGAAGCTTCATTAAATATTTAAAATATATTTTTCTTTTAGTCGAAGTGATGATTCCTGGACGGGCGTTGGAGTGCTACTCGGCTCCAGCTCGCAGATCGTGTAGTTAACAAAGAGATGCGAATGTTAAAAATTGTCAGAGCATTTGCACTAAAGCCGACGTATTTATTTTTGTTACTTATTAACTAAATAAAATTTAAATAAATAAAATATATATTTTGCATTACTTAAATCTTCCTTATTTTTTACGGCGGCGACTGCATCGCCTGGGGGCCCGGAAGTTACGGCGGCGACTGCATCGCCTGGCGGCCCAGCAGGCGCGGGAGCAGCAGCAGCTCTGTTCGGCAACTGTAGCATAAAGTCCCTCAGCTCCGGATGGCCCATCTGCACGGCATGCTGGGCCAAGGCCCAGCGCTCCCGTCTGTTGAGACCGCCTGCAGAGCTTGCGTCGCCTAATCCATTGGCACGTGGTGCACCGCGTGGCCCACTGTTGCCACGTTGTCCAAGGGCACGTGATGAACCGCGTGACCCCCTGTTGCCACGTTGTCCACGGGCACGTGGCACACCACGTGCCCTTGAGCTCCCGCGTCCTGGCCTCCAGGCTGGGGGACCGCGGTTCCACCAGTGCCTCCAATCGTCGCCGTCGTCGCCGCGACCTCCACCTCCACCTCCACCAACGCCGAAATTGAACGTCTAAGAGTTCATGATCAATTCCCTTCGCTTCTGATCCGGAAATAAGTTGGTTGCCGATGAAGCAAGCGTTTCCTTTAGTAATCAGGCCTGCTCCGGTAATCGAAAACGGCAAGAATTTTTCGTTTTCGTTTTTGAAAACGAGAAATTGGTGCTCCGGTAATCGAAATCGAAAGATTTTTTCGGTTTGAAAAACGGGCATCTTTTTCTGGCCGGAATGAAAAGTAAATGGCTTTTTCTATATAAAATCAGACCTTATTTACAAAAGGAAAAACATAGTTTACTCAGTGGTCTATTGATGTTTATTCCACAACACCATAAGATCATTCTGGCAGGTAGTTATTTTATAAAAAATTTATTTCTGACCCCACCTCAGATTTGACAACAAAATTTTTGCCGTGTTCAACCAGTTTTCTCGGTTTGGCGATAGGCCGATAAGTTCACCGCAAAAAGTTATCGCCAAGGTTGCCATATTGTTGGTGGAACGAAACAGCCAGTTAAAAATACTTATAGAATATAAATGAATACATTAATAACTTTAAAGGACCGCCAAAATGGTTGTTTATAAATAATGCTATTTAATGTGATTACTTAAATGGTCCAACTTAACCAAATAATTATTTGAGACCACCGGAATTAAAACTGTGAAAAGTGTGGCAGCATCTTAGGTGCCTGGATTTGCCTAATTCTACCATTTTTTGCCTTTTTCTGGCTTAGAAAAAGGGCAATTGTAAATATAATAGGCAGTACTTTACGTTGTTTGCTTATTACCAACAACACAAGTTAGCTGCTTGAGCAGTGAGAAACGATGAGAAAACGAAACATCCGATAGCAGAAATTTGCCGAAAACCGGAGCAGCTAAAAACGAAAACGGTTCGTTTTCGCCCAAAACGAAATCGAAAAAATTTTACGATTACCGGAGCAGGCCTGTATATGCAAAGTTTCAGTCAGATAGCTTTAAAACTGAGGGACTAGTTTGCGTAGAAACGGACAGGTGGACAGACGGACAGACGGACTTGGCTAGATCGACTCGGCTGTTGATGCTGATCACTACTTTATAGGGTCGGAAACGTCTCCTTCACTGCGTTGCAAACTTCTGACTGAAATTATAATGCCCTGCAAGGGTATAAAAAAATGCAAAGTTGTTTGTTTTTAAATAATACAGTTTCTATAAAAGTCCCTTTCTAATAGTATGATTATGCGATTGCTTGCCAAAGCTCAAAAATTTGGTGACAACATTATCTGTTCTACGTAGCTAAAGGCCAGGCCCTGCGATTTTCTATAAATTCATAAATAACATTTTAAAACGCTGATAAGCGGCTTTTGTACACTTTTCGTTAGTCTCATCGCCTGATTCAATGCAGTTCTACCCGTCTATTGGACGACCGATGCGGAAATGCAGAAAATTTGAGAATTACGAATGTCGGGAATGATGAACCTGAGGCTGCTGCTTGGATGGCAGGCCTCGAATTTCATGTTAAAAGTTCAATAAGGTAAAGGTGAGACATCAGAAGTGCCAAATTTTAAAACGCTGATAAGCGGTTTTAGAGCACTCTTCGTTCGTCTCATCGCACTCAGCTTGATTTAGTTTCTTCCAGCTGGCAGCAAGATGCAGACGTTATTTTGGCCGAGTTTGATCATCGGGTTCCTGATTCAAAGGAGCTCTGCACGACTCTTGGACGACAACTGCAAAACCTCAACGGGGGGAAGAATTACGAATGGTAACGACGCTGAACTGGAGGCTGCTGCTTGGATGGCAGGCGTAAGTAATGAAACACATTTTCTATGTGGCGGCACTCTGATTCATAAACGTAAGTATATGTATATACTATATAAATATAAATAAATAATAGAAAATTATTTTGTTTCTTTCAGGATTTGTGTTGACCGCCGCTCATTGCATTAAAGATCAGGGCAAATTGTAAGCACACTTAAAGCTTATTATCAAAAATATTCGTAATAAGATTATATAATAATAATGACCTCAGATTCGTGAGATTGGGAGCGTATAACCTATCGCTCCATGTCGTAGAGTACAGTATCAGCAATGCGGTGTTTCACAGGGAATACTCTTACGAAACGGGACAAAATGATATTGGCCTTCTTCAACTACCTCTTGATATTGTGTTTACTGGTAAGTCTTAACTGGTTAATCGCCCCTAATGGAGCTTAGTTTTGTTTTCCTCTCCGCAGGGCAAATCTATCCAATCTGCATTGATTTAAGTCCCACGGCGAAGAGGGAAGTGGAGAATGCTAACACATTCGATGCCTATGGCTGGGGAGAAACACGGACAGCCCGCTTAAGTCAAATTCTTCAGAGAGTCACACTCGATCACTACGATCGCAGTAGGTGCAACAGGATAGCACGTTCGCCACTTACTTTAAATCAGATTTGTGCTGGGTCCTTAAACCGTGACACCTGTAGGGGTGATTCTGGTGGTCCGCTCATCAGAAAAGTTAATTATAATGGCACTCGACATCTGACGCAGGTGGGAATGGTGAGCTATGGTTTAAGATCATGCAGTGGACTGGGGGTTTATACCGATGTCACTAGCTATGCTGACTGGATTGAGGAAAAGATTGAATCTCTATTTCCCGAGTATTCTTCACCCACTCGTAAGCATTTTTCAATGGTTCAAGGACTCTCCTTACACATCAACATGTCATTTATCAGCAGCCATCGTCAATACGGTCTCCATTAGACCTCCTCTTGAAACAGATGATTTCGGTGCCGAGAACTTTGGCGGAGCCCGATTATTATTTGAACCATGCGGAACTTCACTGAGTACGAGAATTCGGAATGGTGAGAACGCCGAACCGGAGACTGCTGCTTGGATGGCCAGAATACATTATGAATCTCATTTTATATGTGGCGGCACCGTCATTCACAAACGTGAGTACATATACTTTTACATACTTCATTTAAGTAACAAATAAATTCGGCTTTTATCTCAGGCTTTGTATTAACCGCCGCTCAATGCTTAATAGACAGACAAGAAGGAAACCTGTAAGTCTCTTAAGATGCTTTCGATTCAATATAGAACGTATAATATATTCGTACTGTTTGCAGATTTGTGAAGTTGGGAGAATACGACATACGGCTTCCAGCCCAGGAGTATAGTGTCAGAAAGAAGATTATTCACAATGGATTTGACCTAAGAAAAATGAATGATGATATTGGCCTTTTGCAACTATCACGTGATATTGAGTTTAGTTGTAAGTGTTATCGTGCCCTATATGCCCTATCCAATGAAGCTTAATATGTTTTCTCATCCGCAGGGCATCTCTTTCCGATCTGCATTATTCTGAATCCGGAAGTTAGAAGCAAAGTCGAAAGTGCTTATACATTTGACGCCTATGGATGGGGAAGAACAAATACCAGCCGAACAAGCAACCTCCTGCAGAAAGTCACTCTCGATCGATACGATCGCAATTTGTGTAACACCATATTATTAGTTTATCTTCGTTCAAGTCAGATATGTGCTGGATCTAATGTAGGAGATCCCTGTGATGGCGACTCTGGCGGTCCCCTGACAAAAAAGGTCATTGTAAATGGGATTCAACGTTATACGCAGTTCGGGATCACAAGCAAATACCATGGAATAGCAGTTTTTACCGATGTCACCAGTTATGTTGACTGGATTATGGAACAGGTTAGGGAGTTTCAGACTATGATATTTTTCCCATAAGAAATATTGATAAATAAATACATGTAGGTATGTTGAGTCAATTTCTATTAGAGGTGGGCGCGGGCCGGGCTTTTTTTCGTGGCCCGCGGGCTTACACAGGCCCGGACCGGGCCGGGCCGGGCCCGGGCCTTTAAATTAAGATTCGTGCGGGCTTCGTGCGGGCCCGGGCCTTAACAAAAAGGCCCGGCCCGTAAAAGCCCGTAAAAGCCCGAAATAGGCCCGAAAACAAGTTTGATTTGTTCGCGATATTCTTGTTATGCTCAAATTAGAAACGCCATTTATCGCATTTTAATTGTTTATCGATACTACTATCGATGTGCTTACACATATTTTACTTGCTTGGACACCACTAATTCAAAGTTGGCGTCTTATTGTGAAATTGATTACTTTAAAATATAAAATATGTCGCGAAAAACCATTCAGGACGCTGTAAATAAAAAAAGTGAATGTGTAAAGCTAACACAAAACGGAAAGGGCAGGAGTGACGTATGGAAGCTGTTCGATTGCGTTAATTATAATGGCAATAATGTCGATTTTGTGTGCTGCCGAAGCTGTAAGCAAGTGCTGGCGTATAATTCAAAACAAGGCACGGGCACCCTCAGCCGCCACAAGTGCACGTCTCAACAAGACGCGCTTAAGTCACAGCCCACATTGGACAGGTTCGGCAAGAAAGTTGTTTCGACGCGATTTCGGGATTCGTTAGCTCGAAAGCAGCTAGCCTTAGTTGCAAAAGACTTGCGCCCTTTCAATATTAGCGAAGGTAAGTTCTATTGAATAGAATCTATTCCCATTGCACGTGTTTATTGATTGACTCTTTTTTTTGTGAATTGGTAGGTAGCGGCTTCCGTGAATATAGCCAAGCGCTTCTCGACATAGGAGCAGAATTTGGAAGTCAGTCTATTAATGATTTGGTTATATCCCGTAAAGTGTTAAGCACTACCATTATGGAGAAAGAGTACGAATCTTTGAAAATTCAACTTATCTCAAGTTTGAAAGACCAAACACTGGTGTTGCGATGCTGGCGAAGGTTCGCTGCCCGCGCTAGATGCCCAATTTGAAAAGGGCGGTAATTTGAATTTGTTTAGCGTTGTATAACACAGAAATGGTTCTGACCAACACTATATAGTATTGTAAAACACCCTTTTTTGCGAGAATGAGACCGCTATATGTGTAAGCGTCACTTTGTGAATTGAAGAGCGGCAAACCACAAGCGTAAGATCGAAGAAAATGTAAAACTTCTTTATTTTTTTAACAAGATTAAATAAAGATTTCAGCGCTGTTGCTATCAGTATACTACAACCAGGCGCTTGTTGTACGTGGTTAAACCCGGGACCCAGGGGCGTCCCAACAACTGGCATACACGACCGACATGTGGAGTGACGACTACACGCAGCGAAATTTTATATCGCTGACTGCTCACTATGTGGATGATGACTTCCGACTGAACGTCGCTCTTTTAGGTACTAATATAAATCAATTTTTATATATATTTGTATGTACGATCACATGTAATGTATATTTTTATACATACATATTTACATATTTATTTAAAAATGTTTATGAAGCTTTTAACTTATTTGTGTATCTTTTACAGGAATCAGGGAGTTCTTGGATGAGAAGAAAACTGGAGAAAATATTCTCAAAAATGTTCAGGACATTTTGCAGGATTTCAACACACTTGAAACTATCGATCGAGATGTTTTTGTTACGGACAATGGTGCAAATGTCGTTGCGGCATTTAAGAGCTTCAAGCGCCTATCTTGTGCTTGTCACAATCTAAACCTTGTCATGGATGACGTCGTTGAGAAAAATCCTCTTGCGGAAGTTAAGGCTTTAATCGATTGCTGCAAATCATTAGTAAAATATTTTAAACATTCTCAGCTTAACAGTAAGCTCTCAAAAACGCTGAAACAGCAAGTTAAAACACGCTGAAACTCTACATTTTTTATGCTCTTGAGTATATTTGATGTAAAAGAGGAAATAAAAACTCTTTTACTTAAAAAAGATGAGCTACAGCGAATTAGTAATTTAGATTTTTCATTACTTGAAAACATTTTATGCTTCTTAAAACCTTTTAAGGACTGCTCTGAAGCGCTTAACTCTGACAAGGAACCAACAATGCAAATATTTGCATTGTGGTCAGAAAAATTATGTAAACTTTGCAGAACTAGCACCCTTGATTCCCAAATAATAAGTGAGTTTAAAACAATGACCCTAAGCGCATTAGAAAAAAGGTTTCTTCCGGCAATCGCTCATTTGGTGGGGCTTTTCTTGAACCCTCCTTATAAAGAGATGAATTTCCTCTCAGAGGAAAAAAGAGATGCTGTTTTAGCTACGGTAAAAGCAATGCTCTCCGAATTTATAGGGAATCATGACTATAGTAGCTTTGTTGACTCAACTAATAACATAAGCCCAAATAATTCCGACAAAGGAATGTTTGCCGAATTTTTAGATTTAAGCTATATAAAAAAACGAAAAGTTGAGAAAAACCCTATCGACATAGAGATTGACAAATATTTGGCCTATCCAGCAGTTCCTGGTACACATATTTTAGAGTTTTGGAAAAATGCAACGGACTTAAAATATCTTTCCAAATTAGCTCGAACCATTCTGGCTATTCCCGCCAGTTCGTCTACGAGCGAAAGACTATTTTCAACATCGGGCCATGTTTTAAATGAAAAACAAACTAGGCTAAAAAGCTCAAATTTGGAAAAAATTGTATTTTTAAATAAAAATATGATATGATTTGATTTATGATTTACCTTAATAAATATGTACTTATATATACCTATAAATTGCATGTCTTTTAAATTTTCTTATATGTGTAAATAAGTTTCGTGCGGGCCGGGCCGGGCCCGGGCCTTGGTAAAAAAGTTTCGTGTTCGTGCGGGCCGGGCCTCTTAAAAAAGAGTTCGTGTTCGTGCGGGCCCGGGCCTCAAAATACAGGCCCGCGCCCACCTCTAATTTCTATATACAGTGGCTCCAAGCTTATTTCGTGCAAGAATTATTAACAATTTTAAATCGGCCCTGCCGGATAACTAGCAAAGATATTTCTAAAATTTAAACGCAGTATTTTGGAGAAACACTTTGAATATTTAACTAAGAAAATTTTATTTTCCTAATCTTTAAAATAAATTAAAAAATTAAATAAATAGAAAAAAAGTGTCAATCCTCACACCCAAGCTTATTTCGTGCAAATATTTTAAAAACAAAAAACAGCTATTTTAGACTTTAAAATCGAAATTTTTTTTCTATATTACTTTTTTAAGTACTAATCAATACATACTTTATTGGTTTTAGATGCTGGCCCTACATAATTACGGATATATAAGAAATTCTTTGTGGCAGTACCATGTACCATGAGTGATCAAAGGAAATTACTCCAAAATCACTTTAAAAGTGACAAATATCATCGTGATTTTTCCGATATGGTTTTCGTAACCCACACTTCATTCCATTACATAATTAAATCATTTTTTTGTAGGAATTTGGTGGCAGATTGGGGTCGAGATAGACAAATACTTATAAATTTTTCAGTGAGCTGTGTTGTATTATCCTTATAATAAAGGAACAGGAGATACTTTCAGTTCCCAAATTAGATGCATTATATTGAGCACAAAATATGTAACAAATGTAGTGTGAATTAGGTGCGCCCTATGTTGCAGGATCACATATTAAGAGGTCAAGTAGTATCAAAACAGCCATTTATAAGCAAACATTACAGCAAGGATCGTCTAAAATCTGCATAGAAGGTTATAATTCACTCGATTTTCTTTCGGAATGATTTTATCCTTACATATAAGTAAATAATTAGCCAATTTAGTTTTGGATGGACTAAAATATGTGCTGTGGTGACTGAATTCCTGCCTGTAAAATAAGCACCTCAATGCATTTGTGAAGCAAGGCGGATTCATTCCATTGTTGGGCCTGTATGGTGTCAATTGGCGTGACGAAACAAATTTTTTTCAATGAAATAGTAAATGGCGATATGTTTCCTTAAAAATTAAAGAAAAATTTGCTTAAAATGGCAGAAGAACTGCGCCTACGGGGTCGTTTTTGGTAATATCAGACTAAGATCATACGTGCTCGGCAGGCTTTGTGAGGGCGTGGCTCGTCTGAAAACGAACAAAATTTATAAAAAACATTACAAAAATCAACTTTTTGAAGTGTTAATACAAATTTTAACCAAAAAGTAGACTCAGTCATTATAAAAAAAGAGATAAAATAAATATTAACTCAAAAGTGCTATAAGGAAATAATGGCTTAATAGTCTAGTAGAAACATATATAAAAAAAATTTTTTTTTCGTATAGAATATTTTGAAAGTTGTTAAAGAATGAAGACAGGTAAAAAAATATAGTAAAATCTAAAAATAAGCAAGTTATTTTATATTTTCTGAACTGCACGAAATAAGCTTGGGTGTGAGAATTGCACTCTTTTTCCTATTTATATGGTTTTATTATTTGTTTTAATTATTAGGGAAATAATTTTATGTTAATTAAATTAACAAATACTTTCTCTAACATACTGCGTTTAAATTTTTAAAATATCCTTATTAGTTTAGCGGCAGTGCCAATTTGAAGTTGTTGTAAATTCTTGCACGAAATAAGCTTGGAGCCACTGTATATACTTCGGTGTCGTGAAGTGTGCTATACTATCAAATGACCAATTGCTTTTAATGAGCAGTTCACCACTTGCCATAGTTATACCAATACCATCAATTACGCTCTGTGACTCCGGAGCTGTCGCTGCCCAGCAATCGCCTTGGCGGATTAAACTGATGCTTCTGGATCATTCGAACGACCGGAAACCAAAATCCATGATTGGTTTCCCGTGTGTTCTCGGGAACCTTTCTCAGCTCTACGTTGCAGCCATTTAAAGTTTGGCTAGAAACTAGCTAGTTTGAGTACACCGCTAAGTAATTGGCACCTCCGACATGGTTTGTGCATTGGCTGCTGAAAATTATGGCTCCCACAAAGCTGGAGAGATTTTGTGTCAAAAATTATGGCACCAAACCAAAATTGGTGTCAGAACTGG